ACAAAGTTAACAAGTCCTGTATTTATGTCCTGGTGTTTTGTGTGTCCTATGGATCAATAAATACACACTACACCGAGTTCCAAATTATTATGCAAATTCTATTTAAGTGTCACAAAGATGAAATATTTTGTTTTTCAGTTTAACTCATGGATGGCATTATGTGTCAGGGCTCTTTTGATCACTGAAAACAATCTCGGACACCTGTGATAATTAGATTGGCCGGTGAGCCCAATTTAAGGAAAAACTACTAAAGGACGGTGTTCCACATTATTGAGAAGAGCACCATTTTCAAGGAATATGGGGAAGAAAAAGGATCTCTCTGCTGCCGAAAAGAGTGAAATAGTTCAATGCCTTGGACGAGGTATGAAAACATTAGATATTTCACGAAAACTTAAGCGTGATCATCGCACTATTAAGAGATCTGTGGCTGATTCAGAGCACAGACGGGTTCGTGCAGATAAAGGCACATTGAGGAAGATTTCTGCCAGATCCATGTATCGGATCAAGAGAGCAGCTGCTAAAATACCATTACATAGCAGCAAACAGATATTTGAAGCTGCTGGTGCCTCTGGAGTCCCACGCACATCAAGGTGTAGAGTCCTCCAGAGTCTTGCAACTGTGAATAAACCTTCTATTTGGCCACCACTAACCAATGCTCACAAGCAGGATGGCTGCATTGGGCAGAAAAATACATGAAGACTAATTTTCAAACAGTCCTGTTCACTGATGAGTGCCGTGCAACCCTGGATGGTCCAGATGGATAGAGTAGTGGATGGTTGGTGAACGGCCACCCTGTTCCAACAAGGCTGCGACGTCAGCAAGGCGGTGGTGGAGTCATGTTTTGGGCCGGAATCATGGGAACAGAGCTGGTCGGCCCCTTTAGGATCCCCAAAGGTGTAAAGATGACCTCTGCAAAGTATGTGGAGTTTATGACTGACCACTTTCTTCCCTGGTACAGAAGGAAGAACTATTCTTTCCATAATAAAATCATCATCATGTATGACAATGCACCATCTCATGCTGCAAAGAATACCTCTGCATCAATGGCTGTTATGGGGATAAAAGGAGAGAAAAGCCATGGTGTGGCCTCCATCCTCCCCTGACCTCAATCCTATTGAGAACCTCTGGAGCATCCTCAAGAAAAAGATCTATGAGGGTGGGAGGCAGTTTACATCCAAACAGCAGCTCTGGGAGGCTATTCTGACATCTTGCAAACAAATTCAAGCAGAAACTGTCCAAAAACTCACAAGTTCAATGGATGCAAGACTTGTGAAGCTGCTCTCAAATATGGGGTCCTATGTTAAAATGTAACGTGACCTGTTAAAATGTTTAAAAAGTTAAAATGTTGTTAAAAATTTGATTGAAATAGCTTTTGATTTCAGTAAATATGCTGCAAACACAACAAATGACAATTTTCAGTTCTTTACAACCTATAAAGTGTTTTGAAACTTACTGTGCGTAATAATTTGGAACAGTGCATTGTAAGGTTTTTATGTTTAAAAAAAAATACTATTATCATTAGGAGGTTTGTTCAATAAAATTTGAATTGTACTCTTAATAGTTGATAACATGAGAATTATGCTGTTATTTACATCAATTATTTAGGTAAATGAGAAAAATATCATTTGCATAACAATTTGGAACAGGGTGTATATTCATCTATCCACCGCTGTGCGGCTGACCCTTCTTCCTATTGCATCGTGTGTTGTGGCGAGACAGAGCCTGCATCTGTTGTGGATTGATCTGGATTGTTTGCCTGAGTGGTATATCTTTTTGTACTGTGGAGGGTGCCGCAGACAAGGGCACTGTGGAGGGTGCCGCAGACAAGGGTAGAGTAGACAAGGGCACTGCGGAGGGTGCCGCAGACGCGGGCACTGCGGAGGGTGCCGCAGACGCGGGCACTGCGGGGTGCCGCAGACGCGGGCACTGCGGAGGGTGCCCGCAGATAGGGGCACTGCGGAGGGTGCCGCAGACAAGGGCACTGCGGAGGGTGACGCAGACACGGGTACTGCGGAGGGTGCCACAGACACAGGCACAAGGTGCTGCAGACAAGGTCACTGTGGAGGGTGCAGCAGACACGGGTATAGTAGACAAGGGCACTGTGGAGGGTGCTGCAGACACGGGCACAAGGTGCCGCAGACAAGGGCACTGCGGAGGGTGACGCAGACACGGGTACTGCGGAGGGTGCCACAGACACAGGCACAAGGTGCTGCAGACAAGGTCACTGTGGAGGGTGCAGCAGACACGGGTATAGTAGACAAGGGCACTGTGGAGGGTGCTGCAGACACGGGCACAAGGTGCCGCAGACAAGGGCACTGCGGAGGGTGCCGCAGACATAGGCGTTATGGAGGGTGCCGCAGACACGGGCAATGCGGAGGGTGCCGCAGACAAGGGCACTGTGGAGGGTGCCGCAGACACGGGCAATGCGGAGGGTGCCGCAGACAAGGCACTGTGGAGGGTGCCGCAGACACGGGCAATGCGGAGGGTGCCGCAGACAAGGGCAATGCGGAGGGTGCCGCAGACAAGGGCAATGCGGAGGGTGCCGCAGACAAGGGCAATGCGGAGGGTGCCGCAGACACGGGCGGTATGGAGGGTGCCGCACACACGGGCACTGTGGAGGGTGCCGCAGACAAGGGCACTGTGGAGGGTGCCGCAGACACGGGCGGTATGGAGGGTGCAGCAGATACGGGTACAGCAGACACTGGCAATGTGGAGGGTGAAGCAGACACGGGCGGTATGGAGGGTGCCGCACACACGGGCACTGTGGAGGTGCCGCAGACATGGGCACTGTGGAGGGTGCCGCACACACGGGCACTGTGGAGGGTGCAGCAGATACGGGTACAGCAGACACTGGCAATGTGGAGGGTGAAGCAGACACGGGCGGTATGGAGGGTGCCGCAGACATGGGCACTGCGGATAGAAAGCCAAGAGCGGTGACCAGAGAACTGGCTATACAAGTGCAGCAGGCAAGGAGCCAGTCATGACTGGAGGCACAGGAGAAGGTCTGCCGAAGGCAATGTAAGATTCCAATAACAAACACCTCAAGTCTCCGCTGACCCCGTCGTGTGAGGCGAGGAGTGAAGAGCACCTTTGTCCCACATTCCCTCCATAGACACCATCAGGTGACACGTCCCCCTGTCAGCACAGTGCACGTGTACTTCCCTCCCGGCTTTGTATAAGAGAGGGCGGAGAAGGGGCGTGGTCAGACAGTGGAGAGATGTGTTGGGCGGGGAATAGGAAGCTGATATGAAGCTGTAAAGCCGGAGATCGACTTACCAGTAAGATCAGGCTGGACCGGCATCTTCCTGTGCGGACATCTTCCAGGACGGGTAAGTGAGCGGCTGTGTGTGCACGGTATGTATCACTGTGTTCTTCTGATAGGGGAATCCTGGGGTCCTGGTATAGTATGACGTAAGAGCGGATGTATGTAGGAAGAGGGCACTGGACACCCTGTAGACCCCCATAGTTGGTGCAGTCCAGGATACTTGCACTAACAGTTCCATTCTCTGGGGTTTCTTTCTTCTCAGTCTAAGTAGTTTTGTGTCACGGCCATGAATGAATGGTGTCCTGGTGACCACATGTCCAGGCTTTGCTGTGTGCTGCTGACATTCTTCATTCATTTCTCCATGTTGTCAGACCCCTCCCATGTCATCATGGATCTCCCTGTTCTCCCATACTTCACTACCACTCATGTCAACTGCTATCTCCTATGGGCTAAAAAAGCCACCTTTATTGTTCCGCCCCTGACCGTAACTCTGTTAGGTGGCCATACACACTTCAATAAAGGATTGATTTCTTTTCCTTTATCAATCCATAGTCAGCAACCCTTTCATTGATATGACACACAGGCAAGTAGATTTTGAATGCTAGTTGGAGGATACGATCCTAAATGATCGATCACATCTCTATATCCGCCATGCAATCTCCTAATCGAATCAATCGAAATACGATCCAATTCATGACCGTAGTGTCCGATTGATGCAAAGCGATCAATGGCATTCTAACCTAGATAATTGACTCGGTTTGAATCTGAAATCTAGTCTAAGTCAATTGGAAGAAAAGTTACAGCTTTTATTATTATTTGCCAATCCAGTCGCTTTGAGCAAATCACACATCAACCAATAATTCTAGAGTGTGTATGCCCATCATAATAATTACTGATGTTTATACACAGGATTTTCACCTGTTCATCCCATGTAGACAAACAAGGATTTTCGCAGGGGCACACGCTTAAAGCTCAACTCCAGGCAAAAAAAAAAAAAAAAATTCCCGTGCAGTGGGGCGATGCTAACTGCTCATTTTTGTCTAGGTGGGAGGAGATTTTTCTTCCTTAATCCTTCAATAATCCCAGCACAAGGCCAATCCGGTGCCCGCAAGCTACATTGGTCTTGAATTATGGATTGTGCATAATGTCATCAATCCCATAGACCAGGAACAGTCCACCACTGGATTGTGGGGGAGCACTGTTATCTGGTGGAATAAAGGATCGGGTCAGTATGAGCTTTCTGCTCATCCCTAGACAAAATGAGTAGTTGACCTGCATGGGGATGCATTTTTTTTTTCCCCCTACGTTGGACTTTAAAGTCCTTTTCAGCCAAGGAAGCTACCTTCTTGGCCTCTGTTTGATCTGCAACTGCTATGGTGCTGCACCTGTGATCATTTCTTACACCAGCCATTTGATGTTTGACAGTTTGGTTGAGAACACAAGCAAATGTGACCATTTGTATTCCCAATACGTGTCCAGAATGTAACTGGTTTTTGAAACCGTTAAACCAGTGAGTTTAGATCCGCTTTAACTATGTCCATATGAATAATGCCATAATTATTACATCTATACATAACAGTTTACGTTTTTTAAGCTTTTGCTGATACTTTTTAAATGGGGGTGCGGGTCCAGGGCCAAAACTTGAAGCAGTAGGTAGCTGATTACTTTTTTTTAATTTTTTTTAATGTATAATTTTTTCACAGTGTTTGTTTTTATTTCTCTCAATAGTTTAACCATGGCTGAGAAATTCAAGGTTGAGAGTCCCAATGTACGCTATCTAAAGGATGTTATAGAAGCTGATTACAACTATAGCACTACCAAAGTCTATGAAGAAAATGGTGTTACCAAGGTAATGTATTGATGAACGTGAAATCAATTTTTATTTAAATTTTGCTATATTATACCAAATGTTTATAATATATTCATGCACATAAAGATCCATCTTGCAGTACACAGACTAGAAAAAAATTTAATCCAGGGATGTTATGTTTTAAAAGGTCCTAGAATGCCCAGTGTTTTCAAATATATCCCTGAAGATAAAAATGTGAGCTGGGGTTCCCATTTTGGAAGTTTTGACAACAGTGATTTGTCCATAAGGAAATAGCTGAAAAGTCCTGCCCTCTATTACTTGTGTGGAATAGCTTATTATTCTACAGGATTTATATAGCGCCAACCGTTTGCAATACAATTTGGTACTAGAGGAAACGGAAGGCCCTGCTCGTTGGAGCTTACAATCTAGGAGATTAGACCAGGTGTGTAAGGTAATCGCCTGGTGAGAGTGTTTAGTGTGTGTGTGTGTGTGTGTATGTGTGTGTGTGTGTGTGTATGTGTATGTGTACACCAAGCACAGTAGGATATCTTGTGCTGGCTATAGTGATTTATTTGGGTCATCTAAATCAGGGGTCTCCAAACTATGGCCCTCCAGGTGTTGAGAAACTGCAAGTCCCATGAGGCCTTGCAAGACTCGACAGCCACAGGCAAGACTCCCAGAGGCATGATGGGACTTGTAGTACTTCAACAGCTGAAGAGCTATAGTTTTCAGACCCCTGGTCTAAAGGATTGTTTATGCAGTGGTTGTTCAGGCTGTGAATTTGCCAGAATAGAAGTATGAGTTGCAAAGGTATGCTAGTAAGGTAGCGGCCAGAGGTTGGGATAATAGTGCACAGCAGGGAGACATCCAAAACTGTTGAATGCTAAAGATTCTACTTGCAGATGTTAATGGTTAGTATATTTTTTTTTTTCTAGTGTGGTTGCTAAAAAAAAAAAAAGTCACTTTAAAACACTCTTTAGCTTTACTTTGGGATCGCCAAATACAAATCTTATTGGAATTATTTCTTTTGTTTAAAACAATCTTACAAACAATAGCTTGCATTGTTTTTCTATAAGCGGTAACCCAAAAGTGAACAAAAACAGACAAGGGCGCACTCTCATCGTGCATTACCGTGGTAACCCACGTATTTATTGAATAAACAAATGGATGTATACTCACAAACCAACAGAAATAAAAGCACAAAGTGTGGTCCGCAATGACAGCGGATGCAATGCTGTGCCGTTGATAAGGATGAGCTGACACGTTTCGGGAGATGAACCCGCTTCCTCAGAGATTTGGTAACCCAAAAGTATTGATGTCATAAAAAAAAACCCAGACAACTAGTATATTTTTTTTTGGACTGCAAAAGCAGTAAAGGTAAAGCCAAGAAGTATGGCCAGAAACAAAGTACCTCATCTCTGGTTTTTTCAGTATTTGTTGTAACTTTTACTTTTCTGGTACCAAAAGCGCTTTATTGGCACATCAAAGTGAAATGTACAAAAATATAATCCGTATAAACATCAATAAATACAACTTCATTAAGTATGGCAGCATCATGGACCCATGCAGGGGGTCTTAAACAATAACCGCTTGGTAAAGGCCGTTATGGTCTATTACAATAAAGATAAGGTCACATATACTGTATCTTGTAGTGTAAATGTACAGCATCCTGATGATTGGACAAGCCCGCCCAATCCTTTGATCAGCTACACAATACAGAATGAGATTGAAATCATGCTGATAGTGATTGACCATAAACATCAGACCTAGGTATGCGTGTTGATAATAGCTAGTGACTGCTCACTATTGAGGTCAAAACCCAACAAAAAAAGAGAAATGGGGTCCTCTGAGCTATAGAGAAGGAGGAGCCAAAGAACTCAAGAAAAGGCACCAAGGAAGATGAAGTAAAGGAAGGGGGGAAAATAAGTAGTGTTTTCTCGCCACAGGGGACCTCAGACACGGATCCATCTCAAGATGGATCGAGTGGGGTGATGACAGAACTACCAGTTACAGATGGACCGGTCGTGTTGTAAATCTAGACTGGTTGGTAGTTAGGCCAGGGCTACCAAATCGACAAACTGACCGTGTTTATGTTCCAATACCGTAGCTTTTTATTAATGAAAATACCCTGTATTCTGGATTTCATTTCTTCAAAGTGGACTGTCTGCAATTTCCAGGCACATGCTATGGTTTGCCTAGTTGCTATAAAGAAGAACTCGATCAATATCCTAGATTTGTGTGGGTCTATGAAGGAGAGCTTCGCTCAGGCTTTTCCACAGGTTGAGATGTGTGACCAAGTGGATCAAATTATATACCCTAGTCCACAAGTGGTAGGCCATTGGGTAGGACCACCAAATGTGAAACATTGTTCCTGTGTTTGCGCACCCTCTGAAGCAAAGGGGATTGTATCCAGCATACATGGCTATGTGCGCAGTGGTGAAATACCAATGGGTGGGAACCTTGTATTTATTTTCCAATGCCTGCATATTCCAGGAGCATTTTGAGGTGGCCTGTCACATTGGTATCCAATCCTCCATTGATAAATTCTTTTAAGGTCCACTGAACACCGTAAGAAGGCAGTTCGCTGGTACAAATGGACATATAAATCAGAGACAGGTTGCCTTTTAGTGTTTGCAAAATATTTATATATAGATTGAAATCTTGTAAGAGTCTTTGGAGAAGCAAGGTTTCTCACCAAGGGTTCAATAAAATGACAAAGCTGAAGATACCGAAAGAGTTCAGTTGAGGGAATGTGATAGTTATCACAAACTTTGGCCATATGTTTGTAATCCTTTCACTGTTGGCACTGAATGAATTGTCTCAAAGCACTGGGAAATCCACCAAAAGAAAGGATACTTGTCTGACATTCCAGGTGGAAATGGGGGACAATGAAACATTTGGAGAAGGGGTAATGAGGAGACCTTAATCCTGCAGAATATTTGCAGGAATCCCATATCAGCGTGTGCGCCAAGATTGGGTTTAGCTGCTTTGCCCTAGCCATAGATGGAAGCCAGGGGAGGGGAGTCGGATGGACATCCATGATATCTACCATGACCCAAAGTGGCAAGTCTGGCCCCTCATAGAATTGAACTACTGGTGTTATTTGGGCTGCCAGATAATAGTGCCATATGTTTGGAATCCCAAGCCCGCCGCGTATTTTAGGGCGAAAAAGGATGGGGTGCGACAGTTGCGAGCAGCCTGATGCCCATACAAAGTTTTTATAACTTGTCGTAAGATTGGTAATATATGAAAGGGTATCTTAATAGGTAGAATGGATATGACATCTTGATGACATGGATTCTACTGAACCTTGATAAAGACATCTTTTCCCAAGAGGAAAGCAACTTCTGCAAGTGTTGTAATACTGGCAGTTTCTTTGACTTATAAAGTGAATCATATGTGGATGTAAAGGTTATTCCCAGGTAAGAAAGAGTGCTTATTCATTGATATGGAAATTGTGTTTGTGGAGATGGTGTTGTGTTGCTTGTTGTAACTTTTACTTTTATTCAGAAAAAAGCTTTGCATTCTTTTCACTGACTGCAAAGTGTTTTGTTATTGGAGGAGGTGCCGATGCACATCAAAATCTCCCCTCCTCCAATCAGAGTGCTTTGCATTCAGTGAAAAGAATTCATGTCTTTTTCTGAATGTGGAAGGTGCCAAGTGAGCAAACGTCTATATCTGTACTATAGTTGGAATTACAAGACTCTGTAGCAAATGTTCAGTGTTGTCATAGGAGTGCAGGCTGAATACAAAGTAAAAGCGTTATAAAATTCTGCAGCAGCAAGAGATGAGGCACACTTCATTCGAGGAAACTCATTTTTATTGTGCAAAAATACAAAAATCGTTTTTGGCTATGCTTCAGCTTTAAAAGGTAGTATTATGGAAGCTACGACCGCTTACTTGATTTGAAGTTGCAAGCAGCAGGAGTGTCATTCTTTGCTTTGCTACACTGCTTGGTGTGCAGAAAATGAGAGGTTCAGTTGTCAGCAGCAGGAAGGCATAAAATTCCCCTGTGTTACTGTTGGAAAGATTTTCCATCACTTCCTGCCCTGACAGCAAGTTAGGGGAAGCCTCCGCAGTAGGGGGATACACATGGCATTAAAATCTTAGAGAGGTGGAAAAATAAAAACGACCTGGGCCTGGACTTGAACATGTATGTAAACTCAAACGTTTTGTTAGATTTGTTCTTTATAGCAGAACAAAAACCTATTCAAATTTAAGAGCTGTCCCATACACTCATCTGATTTATTTTACATCTGAGGTCCGATTAATCCTCCTAGTTCTGATTTTAGAACTACAGATGATTTAAGGTGGGTATATGAATTGAGTTGAATGAGGGAAAAAAACTCACAGATCCCTGCATCAAAACAAACCATGTGGATACAGGGATCTCTCCTGATGTGCTTTGTATTCTGACAGAATATCTCACTCCCCCCCCTTTCCCCATCAGAATACAAAGATCAGCACTGCAGCCATTGGTTGCAAGCACTGGTCGAATGCTAGTTTTCCAGCATGACCATTTTACATAGTTGCATAGTTAGTCTGGCTGAAAAAAATACAAAAGTCCATCCAATTCAATCATTAAAAAAAAAGTTCTAAACCTACACCCACAGTTGATCCAGAGGAAGGCAAAAAAACCCGGCAAAGCATGATCCAATTTGCTCCTGCAGGGGAAAAAATTCCTTCTTAATCCCCCGAGAGAAAATCGGATATTCTCTGGATCAGCTTTACCTATAAATGTTAGTATCCAGTTATATTCTGTATTTCTAATAAAGAATCCAGGCCTTTTTAAAGCAATCCACTGAGCTGGCCAGAACCAAATCTTGAGGGAGTCTATTCCGCATTTTCACACCTCTTACTGTGAAGAAACCTTTCTGTGTTTGGAGACTACATCTCTTTTCCTCCAGACGTAAAGAGTGCCCCCTTGTCCTCTGTGATGATCTTAACAGTGAATAACCTCTACACAGAGTTCACTATATGAACCACTGATGTATTTATACATGTTGATTTAACAGAAGCTGGCTTCTTTTGAAGAGGCAGTGGTGTACTCACACACAGATTTCTGCTGAACCAGCCAACTTTCAGTACGTTTAGAACTAGCTTTAGCGGTTATGTTGTGAATAGTAGACTAGATGGAGGGTCTGCGTATTTAGCAAGAGAAACCTGAGGATTGACACTGCGCAATTCATAAAAATGCTGTGGGGGACATTATTAAATCCTGTTGTATCCTCTGCTTCCTTTAAACAATCGCATATTGTGATCGAGTTACCATTGTAGTTTTTATTCCCATTGGGGATTCCTGACAAAGGTAAACTGTGGAAATATAGTGACTAGCTTAGTGTACTGTTGCAGAGGAGATGTGTGCATGTCTGGCACATCAACAGCTATTTTCTGTACTTACAGGATATGTAAAAGGAAATAGGGGTATGTTGCAGAGGTTTTTTTTTTTTTTTTTTTTCCTTTTAAATGTCTTTTACACACAACTAGCATACGTTCCTGAGTATTCTATACAGCAGTATTGGTGCAGGAGGAGAGAGCAGAATGGGGAGAGGTGATGATTTATCAGCATGTTAGTCCACCTTCATTATTCTATAGGCGGGGTGACCCCACTGAATTCCTTCTCTTTTTAGAGAAAGTGATGTCACCCTTTAGCTGTGTTCTCTGACATAAGTATATTTTGCAAACATCATTTCACATATATGAGTTGTTTGTTTAGCTAAAAATACTTCTTTTGGAGTCCAGCTGGTTCAAACGCACTTATCTCCATAACAGAACAATGTGGCTGCTATGTGCACTGTAATACACTGTGGTAGCATTAGCTACATACAATAAGCAGCACTTTTTTCTGGCCGCAGTATGGACGATTTCCTGTCTATTGCTAGAATTAGAGAGTCAGGCTGAGTGCTTCTCCACTATTCAGGAGAAGCCATGCATTTTGAGCAATGTATACAAGCTTCTTCTGATTGGCCGAGGTGAAGAGGCAGGTGGATGATGTCACACCTTCCACCTTCGTAGTACTTTCCAAATGCCATATACAGTGCTTGAAAAATTCAAAACTGAATAAGATCTTTATTGCTTCGAGATATACTTAATTTACCAACAGATCATGTAACATTTGGGTATCCGGTAACTAATGTAAATTTGGCTTCCCAGGCTGTTATCGAATCTTACTACCTGTCAAAACCATTATGTTTCACCATCAGAAGAACTTATTTATAGGTTATTTCAGAGTACTAGTCAGCCTGGAGTTAGGCTTTAATGTCCAGCTCTGATATCTTGGATCATTTGCAGTAGTTATGCTAGATTTGTTAATGAAATGTTTTTTTTTGAAGAAGTATGCTCAAGTTCACATTCTCATATGTTATGGAGATTTACTCTGGATTATAGGGCAAGGGTTTATCACAGAGGTCAGATGTTTCCTGTAGTTGGCCACCAGGTTTTGCACACATTTCAGAAGGGATTTTGGCCCACTCCTCTTGGCAGATCCACTCCAAGTCATTAAGGTTTGGTGGCTGACTTTTGGCAACTCAAACGTTCAGCTCCCTCCACAGATTTTCAATTGGATTAAGGTCTGGAGACTGGCTAGGCCACTCCAGGACCTTAATGTGCTTCTTCTTGAGCCACTCCTTTGTTGCCTTGGCCCTGTGTTTTGGGTCATTGTCATGCTGGAACACCCATTTTCAATGCCATGGCTCAGGGAAGAAGGTTCTCACCCAAGATTTGACGGCACATTGCCCTGTCCATCGTCCCTTTGATGCGGTGCAGTTGTCCTGTCCCCTTAGCAAAAAAACACCCCCAAAGCAGAATGTTTCCATCACCATGTTTGACAGTTGGGATGGTGTTCTTGGGGTCATAGGCAGCATTCCTCCTCCTCCAAACACGGCGAGTTGAGTTGATGCCAAACAGCTCAATTTTGGTCTCTTCTGACCACAACACTTTCAACTAGTCCTCCTCTGCATCAATCAGATGTTCAGTGGCCTGGACATGTGATTTCTTGAGCAGAGGGACCTTGCGGGCACTGCAGGATTTCAATCCTTGTTGGCGTAGTGTGTTACCAATTGTTTTCTTGGTAACTGTGGTCCCAGCTGCCTGGAGATCATTGACAAGATCCTCACGTGTAGTTCTGGGATGATTCCTCACTGTTCTCATGCTCATTGACACTCCACGAGGTGAGATCTTGTATGGTGCTCCAGATCTAGCGAGACTGACAGTTGTTTTGTGTTTCTTCCATTTTCGAATGATTGCACCAACTGTTGTCCCCTTCTAACTAAGCTGCTTGGCGATAGTTTGTAGCCCAGTCCAGCCTTGTGTACAATCTTGTCCCTGACATCCTTGGACAGCTCTTTGGTCTTTGCCATGGTGGAGAGTTTGGAATCTGATTGTTTGATTGCTCCTGTGGTCAGGTGTCTTTTTTTTTTTTATACAGGTAACAAAATGAGATCAGCAGCACTCCCTTTAAGAGACTGCTTCTAATTTCAGCTTGTTACCTGTATGAAAGACACCTGGTAGCCAGAAATCCTGCTGAATGATAGGGGAACAAATATGTATTTTCCTCATAAACATGCAAATTGGTGCATAATTTGTTAGACGTGCATTTCTTTTGAAATTTTTATTGTAATTCTGTCTCTGTGTTACAATACACCTATCATTCGATTTTTAGACTGATCATTTCTTTGTGCGTAAGCAAACATTCAAAATCAGCAGGGGATCAAATACTTATTTCCGTGTGTGTGTGGCAAATATTGTCTATGTACAAGAGGCATATCAATTCTTACTTGTTTTTTGGTGTGCTTTGGGTAGTACTTCCTGATCATGTGCAATAATCCAGCTTTACACTGAGCAGGAGCTCCCTGTAAAAAAAAAAAAAAACGATCACTGCTACCCACTCTTTTTGCAGGGTGACTGGTCTTGTTGTGGGTGGATCCTCTGCATCCTCACAAATAATGCAGGACTGCTTATCCTGCTTTATATGTGATGATATCCGAGTGCAACCAAGGGATGGAAGAGGAGGAGTAGCTATGGGGGACTGGTTGCATAGAGAGGAGGAGTTGGGAAAATGCTTTTTCTTGGTACCATATGGGAAAAAAAGAGAACATTTTTCCTGCACTGCGTTTTGGTGTGAACCAGCCCTCTGTCAGGTGGGAGAGTGTTTGTGTAAGACTAGTGAGGAATTGAAGAGACCTGTCATCTTTCATCTACTGCCTAAAATCAGGAACAAATGTCTAATAAAACTTGTGTTGCCTTTTTTTTTTTTTTTTTCTACAGGTTAAACCATGTTCCACCAAGTTTACTTTCAGGACAGAGAAGAAGATACCAAAGCTTGGAGTCATGCTGGTTGGCTGGGGTGGAAATAATGGAACAACCGTTACAGCAGCAGTGTTGGCCAATCAAATGGGTCTTTCATGGATGACCAAATCAGGAAAAAAGGTAAATACTGTTAAATAACCATACAAGCAACAAATACTGTTAACTATATTTTGTCTGTAACTATTTTTAAAGCAGAACTTCACCCAAAAGGGGATGTTCTCCTTTTTCTGCCTCTTCTCCCCCCCCCCCCCCCCTCCTTTTTTTTTTCAAGCGGGAGTGGCTACCTGGTTTTCACAGGAAGCCACTCTTCTGCGTGGATCGCCTAGGCACCCCCCCCCCCCCCCCCCCCCGGAGCTTTCTGGAACACATTACAGGTCCCGGAAGCTGCAACACCATTCACAACACGCAGTGTCACTCATGCATGTGCAGTAGGAAGCCGGTTGTGAAGACGCTAGGACTCACAGCTAGCTTGCATTAGTAAACATACTGGCATCAGGGACCCGAAGACCGGCAAAGAACCAGCCAGGGATAGGATGGTGTAAGTGTCCTTGTATTAAGTCAGCAGCTACAGCATTTGTAGCTGCTGACTTTAATTTTTTAGGGAGGACACCGAAGATCCACTTAAGGAAAAGTCTCGCTCGCTTGATTGTGTATTTTACTTTTATTGCAATGAGATATCGTTGCAAATCTTCATTACTTCATTGTGTATATCAGGTAGTTTCAGGTTGCGCACATATTAATACACATTATTAATTAGTAAGGAATTTAAATGAGTCCTTATACTTTAAACTGTAAACTGGCCAACCGTGCACGTATTGAAACGTCTATGTGCATAATGGTGTCAAATAACATAGCCCAATGTTAGAGGAAAACTAAACCCATGAACTAAGATTGAAGATTTAGTATATTGCTGCTTACCAGTTCTTAGATATGGCTGCGTTAGTTTTTCTTTCTCCAGCTAAGAACATTATCAGAAAGTGCAGGAAAAACCCACTGATCTAGGCAGAAATGCAGTTTCGTCACTTCATATGAGCTGAACAAAAAGCAAAAGCAATGTTTTGTAAACAAAGGCAGAAATGTAGCAACCATGCTCCTTCCATAGATTCAGTGGAGGAGTTGACATAGCCTCCCAAGGACAGGAATTGTATTATTCACAGAATTACTAGGAGAAAAAAAAGCCTGTGAAAAGAAAAATACCACAATGCAACCACATCTAGGGACTGGTAAGCTGCAATTCAGAAAGTTTTTGGACTTAGATGTGCTTTAACAGACCTTCAGCTGTTCTCTAATTCCGTAATAATCCACCTAAAATTTCAAACTCAGACAAAGAACAGGTGTATTTAGGGAAACCATAAATCCTAAAGTGTCACTAAACCAACATCTTAAACCCCCCCCCCCCCAAAAAAAACATTAATGAATGCTGTATTGCATATGCTGTTCATACTCATTCACACTATGAGGTTTGTTTTCTGTATTCTGCAAAGACTTGGTTGATCCTGCTGCTCTCTACCTCCACCTTCTGTCCAAGTCCCCAATACACCTGGGGATTTTGCAGAGTAGTGGTAGCAACTCTACACATGCTCAGTTTTCAGTGAGTTTCTATGCTGTGCATTTCCTCCCTATCTCATCTGAGCAGCCCATGTGACTATAGCATCACACATGTGGGTGTATACACACTGGCAAATGACAACCCACTCCCTCCTGGAAGATGTGACTAGCAGCAGAGGACTAGAAGCTCCTCCTGCTCATGTTTCCCTGCAAAAATGCTGGGAAAGAGCTGGGTCATGTGACAGCTGTATATTGATTAGAAAAAAGGTATTTAGATTTTTTTTTTTTTTTTTTTGTAATTAAAATAATTACAGCGCTATTCTCTTTATACAGATAGAGAAGGGACATATGTCAATTAAACAGTGTGTGTTTTTATTATCACTTTAAGTAAACCTACACAAATATAATAATTTGAGATCGACTAAGACTCTTACATAAGGCCAATTGTGACAAGTTAATTTTGCTGTGTTTGCTCAGACCAACCATGACTATGTCCTTTTGACATCTTTACATTTTACTACTGATAAGTCTTACCAGAGATAAGGTCATCCTGTTTTACTCAGGGTTATTGAGTGTGTAGCAGTCTAATAAAACTTCTTGTAGATAACTTACTATATGTGACTTTTATTGTTCCAGGTTGCCAACTATTATGGGTCCTTGTTTCAGTCATCAACAGTTTGTCTGGGTTGTGGACCTGATGGGGATATCTATATACCTTTTCGTGATCTCCTTCCCATGGTCCATCCTAATGATATTATCTTTGATGGTGAGCTTTGAATATAAATGCATGTGTGGTTAAAGTGAAAATAAGAAGTAGTATAATGAATTTATAACTAACAGCTACTGTGAGCTACCAGTTCCACATATACTGTAAGCACACAGATCACCATCATTTTTAATCTCCCTTTCTGTCCTGCTGGTCTAATGAAACCCCTTTAACATAAATAAAAATTGAAGGTCTTGGGAGCATGTGTTTACAGATATGGGATATATGGGAACTACATAATCTATCAAGGTGCTTCTGCAAAGTTAACCTGTGTCTAGGGTATGCACAGTAAAGTATTTACATACTTTGAGTAAGAACAAGCACATTTAAATAAGCCCCTATTCCTCACTGTAGCTGTGACATTGTGAAGGAATCAAACTTCACTTTTATTTTAGTGACACTGTACTACTCTGCGGAGGAGATGAGAATTTTTTTGCTTATTACGCTGATTAAAAACCATAATTTTTATGGCTAGGATCTATTCATGTGCCATTTTGTACAATTGTGACAGTTGCGATTAGCCACAGCTGTCATGTGATAAAGGGGCACTTGGATTGGCCCGGTCTGTACCATGTGGTCACTGTTTTTCTTTGCAAAGGATACCCAATCACATGCAAGGAAAAGGAAAAAAAACAGCATTTTTGCTTGCACATGATTGGATGTTAGAAATCAACAGAGCTTCCCCCTCAGTCTATGCACTGCAAGTGAAGTTGCTGTAGATCTATTTTCTTTTTTTAAATCAACGCCAATGAATGGCTATTATTGAAAGCCATTGTGTACTATTGACATGCGATCGCTGTGATTGGTGACCACTGGTAAAGGGCCAGTCCGGTAAAACAATCTATCTTCCGCTGTGGAGTGGACAGACACCATGGGTGACTGATCGTGCCGATGCAGGGCCCCTAGGGCAGCCACAAAGCTCACACCTGAAGGATGTCACATGACATCCATCCAGGATAACAGTGCTCCCGCTCTGCCTGCATTTTACAATAGGCCGGGCGGGAGGTTGTTTAGAATACAGTGCCTTGAAAAAGTGTTTAACCCCATGAAATTTTCCACTATTTGTCATGTTACAACCAAAAACGTAAATGTATTTTTGGGGGATTTTGTGTGATAGACCAACACAAAGTGGCACATAATTATGAAGTGGAAGGAAAATGATAAATGGTTTTTAAATTTTTTTACAAATATCTAAAAAGTGTGGCGTGCACCTGTGTGTAATTTATTCTCAGTATAAATACATCTGTTCTGTGAAGCCCTCAGAGGTTTGTTAGAGAACATTAGTGAACAAACAGCATCATGAAGGCCAAAGAACACACCAGACAGGTCAGGGATAAAGTTATGGAGAAGTTTTAAAGCAGGGTTAGGTTATAAAAAAAATATCCCAAGCTTTGAACATCTCATGGAGCACTGGTCAGTCCAGCATCTGAAAATGGGAAAGAGTATGGCAGAACTGCAAACCTACCAAGACATAGCCGTCCACCTAAACTGACAGGCCAGGCAAGGAGAGCATTAATCAGAGAAGCAGCCAAGAGGCCCATGGTAACTCTGGAGGAGCTGCAGAGATCCACACTCAGATGGGACAAATCCATAGGGCAACTATTAGTCATACACTCCACAAATCTGGCCTTTGTGGAAGAGTGGCAAGAAGAAAGCCATTTTTGAAAGAAAGCCATAAGGTGTCCCGTCTGCAGTTTGCGAGAAGCAATGTGGGGGACACAGCAAACATGTGGAAGAGGCTCCTCTGGTCAGATGAGATCTAAATTGAACTTTTTGGCTTAAAAGAAAAACACTGTGTGGTGGAAAACTAACACTGCACATCACCCTGAACACACCATCCCCACCGTGAAGCGTGGTGGCAGCATCCTTTTGTGGGGATGCTTTTCTTCAGCAGGGACAGGGAAACTGGTCAGAGTTGATGGGAAGATGGATGGAGCCAAATACAGGGAAATCTTAGAAGAAAACCTGTAAAAGACTTATTAAGACTTACTAAGAGCTACAATGGAATGGTTTAGATCACAATATATTCATGTGTTAGAGTGGCCCAGTCAAAGTCCAGACCTAAATCCAACTGCCTATCTGTGGCCAGACTTAAATTGCTGTTCAGGCACTCTCCATCCAGTCTGACAGAGCTTGAGCTATTTTTCAAACAAGAATGGGCAAATATGTCACTCTCTAGATGTGCAAAGCTGGTAGAGACATCCCCAAAAAGACTTGCAGCTGTAATTGCAGCGAAAGGTGGTTCTACAAAGTATTGGCTCAGGGAGGCTGAATACAAATGCAACCCACACTTTTCAGGTATTTATTTGTAAAAAATTTTGAAAACCACTTATTTTCCTTCCACTTCACAACTTGCCACTTTGTGTTGGTCTATCACATAAAATCCCAATAAAGTACATTTACGTCTTTGGTTGGAACATGACAAAATGTGGAAAATTTCAAGGGGTATGAATACTTTTTCAAGGCACTGTATGTAAATACTATAATGTCCATAGACTAGGCACAGGTGTACATTTATTGTTAATCATTACAGATCTACATTAATGTGTGCTCTTTTTATAAGTGTGTGATTATTTGTAAGGCTTTGCTTCCTGTTGATTATCTTATCTCACTGATGTGGTTTTTTTAATGGTGCACTGCCTGTATGTCATGTCAAACACAAACTGGTGGCCAAATACCATGTACATCTTTACCTTGGCATTAAAGCCTTCCAAAGTGCTAGTATATTTTATGATGGTAAGTTTGATCGTTGGAGGACAGGCAGGCTGTGCTCCCAGCAAAGCCAGAAAATGGCCCACGTTGAGGTAGATGGGTTTCTATGCCTAGTGTGGTCAGTTTAAAATAGGAAAGGAAGCAGGGGGACTGGCAGGATCACCAGGTATGTTATCCAAAAGAAGAAATACAAAGCGAACAAGATATTTTTTTAACACAAGTATATAGTACAACAGACAATTTCAGGAATATGAAATGTTGGAGTAACATATTTCAGAATGCAGGCACACTCCTTACCCCTGCCATATGTAATTCAGGACCTTGTTGACTAGTTAAAGGGGAACTTCACTCTCCCAATTAACCTGTATTATTTCTAATTCTTATGTTGCTAGTATTAGTAAATAGGAAAGTGCCAGGAGGTGTTTTTTCAAAATGATTTCTCAGCAAAATAAAGTATGGAGACATGGATGGAGGAGTTTGTTTTGAATGTTAAAAATGCATTGCATAGCATTTTTGGTTTGTGGTATTCGGATGCAGTGCAGTTCCACTTGAAGTGCTTGCATTTTTATTTGAGATGCCAATAATGACTTAGAAGAGGGTAGTGTTGTAATTATGAGTTGAGTAACTTTGATGTCCTTTTCTTAGGTTGGGACATCTCATCACTGAATCTGGCTGATGCCATGAGGCGAGCAGAAGTCCTAGATTGGCAGCTGCAAGAGCAACTTAGGCCCTTTATGGAAAAGATGAAGCCCAGGCCTTCAATCTACATACCCGAATTCATTGCAGCCAATCAGGAGGACAGGGCTGACCATATACTCCATGGCACTAAAGCAGAACAGGTAGTTCATGCACACATGATCGTTGTACAAAGGAAAAAGTGATCCCACAAGTTATATGATAAACGTTGAATCTTCCTCAGTTTTAATGAACATTGTCAATGTTTCTAGTGTGAACTTGTCAAAAGCGCTAAGAAAGAATTCAATTCTTTTTAAACGGGTGCCTGTATTCTTCATCAACTAATAATAATTCCCATTTTTCTAAGTGGTTTTCCCCCCACCTTTTTTTTATTGCAAAGATTTGGTCTTGAAAAGCAACTGAAATTACCTACTGGTTAAAAATAGAGAAGCCATCTAAAAATCCATATAGAATAAGCTTCATAACAAGGTGAGAATGCAGATAAATGTAAGAAACTTAATACGTTTTTGTGAAGATTGCACCAAAGCCATGCTATTTCATTAGCTGCCCTTCCCTGCCCAGTGCTGTGCTCGTCAATAGCATTTAAAGAGTAAGAATTTATAAATGTTTTTTTTTTTTTTTCCTTTTTATGTAGGTTCAGAAAATTCGTGAGGATATTCAAGATTTCAAAAGAATAAGTGGAGTAGACAAGGTTATCGTGCTGTGGACTGCAAACACTGAACGCTTCTGTGATGTGATCCCAGGAATTAACGACACCGCTGATAATTTACTACAAGCTATTGAGGTACCTGCAGCTATATGGGTCTAATTCACTTCATCAAAAGATGTCTGCACTTTGGTACTGTATAGGCCAGGCCAAGTTAAGGTTTACTTTTAAACTTTGTGGTATGTGTAACTTTTTATGCTGTCTATATTTACATTAGGCTTAGAAAATTGGCAAAAAGTGTTTTGGCTGCATTTTTTAATGCTCCCATACCACTTTAGGTCATTTAAAACAGTGGTAGAATTCACCTGCATGTTAGCATTACTTTGCTTCACTTCAAGAATTCGAGGGCATGTCTCATTCTCTGGGATTAGTCACAACCTGCTGCCCCCATTGAATTTAAGTGCAGTACTTAAAAAACAAAAAACAAACACATAATGAATGTGTTAAAAAAAAAAAAAAAGAAAACCTTATCAGGTTTTTGATGTGCTCAACGAACATTATACTCTCCCTTGTGAAAAAACCCCAGAATAACTAGAGGTAGCATTTGGGCAATACTTAATATGAAATGATGGATGCGAAACACATCTTGGATGCAACGGAGTGCTGTAGCAGAGTTAACCCACGTTTGCCATATCTCTATACTCATATGAAAGAGGCCATACTCTGACCATGGATTCCCAGAACCTGACCACAAAGCATATCTCTGAAGGGGCACATTACATTCTGATTTTTTTATAACTGCATAGGCAAAAGGAACAGTTGAAAGCTCTGCAGAAAATGTTTCTGCATGATGGGAAATGTGTGATCAAAGCTACAGACTACTTGCTCACAGTAGCTGGATGCACTGTTACCATAGCAATGGTTTACCTTTGAATATTTTTCAGATGCACGTTTTTTACTTTCTGTACACTCCTATATTAATCTTTTGGCCTCTAAAAATCTGATTGTATCACGCTGGAAGATTTCTTTGATATGTCCCAAAACATGACCGAACATGTTCACTGTCCTCAATTTTGGGAAAAATCAAAGGATGACCTTTTATGTTTGTGACAAGCTAAACCTTTTTTCGTTTGTTTTTTGTTCTGTTTTTTTGCCAAATTGCCAAGCGTTTCACATTTTAGCTTGCTGAACATGTTTACAAATACCCTGTTCCTCTGTGTTCAGCTATTTGTTAAAGCTTACTGCAACTTTATTTTTTTTAATCCATTTAAAGTGGATGTCTGAAAATACCCGCTGAGCATTCCACCTCCAAGAATTGAACTTTAAATTGGAAATAGGTACATCATGCAGAGTGGAGGTGGAGTAAAGGTAGATCAGGAACCTTACCCGCCTCCAGTGTAGTGTGCTTGTTTCTTTGCTTAGTGTTGATTTATGACCGGTTCATATCCTAGGTGAAAAGGGTGTTGTAGAGGCTGACACTCAAATTTTTTTTCACAACAGATGAATTTGAGAAGAGAACAAAAAACCATACTGTGCAGTATGTTCTATCATACAGAAATCTATAAGCATATGACAGTGGTGTATCCTGCATGTGTGCAGGACACATGGCACCTAAGAGGCATTGTGTCCACTATGCTATCACTCACTTGTGGCACGAATGCCATCCTTCGAGCTGCAGCCCCCCTGTCAATTGTGGATGCGTTTTAAAAGGAGGTGCATTGTGCACAGACTAATGATCTGGCAGGTTGTGGTCCCTAGCCCTGGCCAACACCACTGTACTCTCATAGTCTACCACTCTACTACTGCAGTTCCATCACACCTTATACACAGCCACTCCAGTGCCTCCCCTTTACACTTCACATGGTTCACTTTCAATTTAGTTGTCCCCAGCACATCCCTTCCCACTTCTACAATTACCTCTGTGCCAGACCCCATCTCACTCCCACAGTATGCTAGTACCCAAGTCTTACCACTCTAACCACTCAGAAGCTCTAGTTTCTCTCCTTTCCTGCCCCACATCACTCACTTTTAATTGGGTAATTCATCTCTTTACACCTCCCTCCTCCAGTACTTTCTCACCACCATCTGACATTTTCTTCCTTCTTTCTTTACTCCACACTTTCCTAATTCACCTCCTCCCTTCAGTTGTAAGTACACTTTCAACACCACTCTCCCTGCTCCTCTTCTTTCATAATTTACAAAGGTTTTGATCTCTAACCGAAAGCTCCACTCACTATTACTGTTGCACAAGTGTTAACGTCTGACAGCTTCCTCCTTCACTCCATGCTGCCTCATCCCACCTTCTGCCAGTTTTAAATACTTTGCCATCAAACCTCTCACTACCATTCTTCTCCTTCATTCAACTGTTACAATACACAATGGTGTCCTTCTATCTTTGTCCACATTGTACTCTTTCTCCCTGCATTAATCTTCATAGGGTAGGGCTACTGTATGCACACTTAGACTGGCTGAGAGGAGGTGTGGTACAAAAAAATTAACATTCTGGACCAAAACCGAAAATGCAGGATGCACTTGGCCAAAAACTGGAAAAACCGAAATGGATGTTTTTTAAATATAATTTTTATATATAATTGTATTCAACTTTTTTTATTAATATCAAAAATTTAAATATGAATTTAAAAAATGCAATCCAGTAACGTAAAATAACTTTTTGAAAGTAACCCACAAAAATTGTACATAAAATGAAGTATATAATAAAATTAAATTTTGCCTTGAGGTCAATACCGCGATAACGCGATTTTTCCCTTGAGGTCAATAGGGACGCGATTTTTGCATTCAAATTATCATTATCGGCACTTATTTCTGGCTGATAATTTTCGGCAGCTGATATATCAGTGCATCACTACTTAGAAAGGATTCTTTCACCACAATGCATTTTCTCTATTACTGTGCTATACATTTTATATTCCACACCATGTTATTCTCTACATTTTTGTATTCCACACCACTTATTCTGTACACTGCTGTACATGACTTATTCCACACTGCCTCATTTTATGCTATACTAGTTGTTGAAGACTGTTGTATCCACACCCCTTTAAGCCATACCTATTCAGTGCAAAAAAAAAAAAAACATGCCCACTTTGTACCTCGGCGCACACTGCACATTTTCTTTCCCTTGTTGAAGAATTACCTAATCTATGATCTTGCACACAAGCCCATTGCATTCAGAAAACATCCCTGATATGGCGTTACAATAAACATAAAGTAGTTGCAATAGTTCCTTTTGGAAAACATTGAAAAAAGACTGGGGGGTGGGGGTGGAGAACTTCTGCTTGGATTGGTTTGGCCTTGAAAGTGGGAGTGGATACCTGTTTTCTTAAAAAGAAGCAAAAGAAGCCTTAAAGTGGAGCTTCCTCTTTTGGATGGAGCTCCGCTTTAAAGTCTTTGTCCCCCTCTCTCCATTAAGCATCGCACCTTGGGGGAGTGGGTTCCAGAATTTACAGGTACCTGCTCCCACTTCTGCGATCGCCTAGGCAATCGGATTCGGAAGTTGGTCCTTCCCCTCCCCTCACTCTTCTTGGACACGTGCCAGGTCCCAGAAGACTATGGGGCCATTCACAAAGTGCAGCTCTTCTTGCACATGCGCAGTGGTCACTTGGCTGTGAAGCCGCAAACTGTCACAGCTGGGTGCCCACACTGAACATGCCGGCGCCAGGGAGAGGAGCCAGCTGGTGAAACCAGTGGTGGTGAGGACACCGCTGGACCGAGGGACAGGTAAGTGTCTGTCCTTTAAAAGTCAGCAGCTACAGTTTTTTTTATTTTATTTTTTTTTCAGGTGGAACTCTGCTTTAATATAAAATATATTTTCTGCATTAAGGTAAAAAACCTAAGCACAGCTTCCCACCCCAATACCTGAGCTCCTTTCTTGGCTCTCTCCCTTCTTATAGATTCAGAGACCGCAGCGGGAGCTCATGCTGCTGTCAATCACAGGCAGTGAGGAGGGAGCTGGGGTGGGGCAGAGTCATGCTTTGTGTGTGGACACAGAACCGGGAGCAAGCCCGCACAAGTGCCCCAATAGCAAGCATCTTTCTATCATGGGCACTCGATAGAAGAGGAGTCAGGAGCACCGGCTGAGGACTCGGGGCTGCTCTGTGCAAAACCATTACACAGAGCAGGCAAGAATAAAATGTTTGTGATTTAAAAAAAAAAAATATGGGTTTACAATCACCTTAAAGTGTATCTAAGCACAAGAGCAAAAGTATAATTTGATGTAGTGGTTGCATTGGTTGCCTTTTCTCTCTGGTCATGTTGGAAAAGGAAGGGGCCATCCCTGAACTTTCTCCAAAGATGGGAGCATGAAATTGTCCAAAATGCAGTAATATTTTTTTGTTTTGCCTTGTTTCTATAGCAAGAAATGGTTTTTATTACTCTGTGATATTGCTGGGCTTGAAAAATGATTGCAGGGGCTGCTTCTGGGAGCTCTGTTTCTATTAACATAGCTATGCCCAAAGAAGTGTGTGTGTATTGTGACCGACAGGGGTAGGAGAGTGGCCAGGGCTGGTAATACCAGTTGCACTATAATTTCAGGTCAAACCAGAGCCCAAGCACACTGGGCTTCTTGTAGATCAACAGGTACTTTACTGTACTTGCAGCCTTTTAAAATTGATAATCCATTGGGAAATAATTTGCATGTATTGTAGAGCTATACTTACTTTTTTATTGTATCTTTTTGCCCTGACATACATTATAATGGAAATAAAGGGTTGTTTACTGTGTAAGGGTAAGCTGCAAGTTATAAAAGGATTCTGTATCATACGGGGAATTTCTTTTTAAGCCAATAACCCCTTTCGGTTGCTACAAGTGGTTTCCAGCATTTGTGTAGTATAGACTGGTTGTGTAATATTCAAAGGTAACAAGCATTTTGTCAGCTGTATTAGGTAACACACATCCTGAGTTGTCGGACTAGCTGTGATCTCTATGTAATAAGTGATGTAAAAAAGGAACATATGAACAGTTTAGCCCATCCCACTCTCCTTTGTGGTTTTCAGTCACTGGGTTGGTTCACAGAGATGGCACCATACAGTCACTTATCTATCTGTTCATTCTTTTACAGTGATTAGGTTTTATCAGCCGTCTAGCACAGGACTCTTGAACTTCTCTTCATCCTTTTACCAACACATCATTTTCAGCCTAATCACACAAGGATTTGAGTTAAAGGTGGTAGATTATTTAAATAACAATAAAACAAAGTTATCTGCTGACATGCTCTAGATATAAAAAATAATGTGTGTGTGCTATTTTGCCAAAAGTATTGGGACGCCTGCCTTTACACACACAAGGTTTAACCACTTCATTTCAAGGCCAATTTGCAGCTTTCAGCACTATCACACTTTGACAATTGCGTAGTCATAAAACACTGTAACCATATGAAATTTTTATAATTTTTTTTAGACAGAGAAAACTTTCTTTTAGTGGTATTTATTCACCACTGGGAGTTTTTTTTTTTTTTTTTTTTGCTGTATAAATGAAAGACCAAAAAGTTTGAAATATGTTTTTTCTTATAAATATATATATATATATATATATATATATATATATCATCATTTGTTTTTTGTTACATACTTTCACCCTAGCAGTACAGTGTCACCATACTTGTGTGGGATGATGAAGGTTTTTTTTTTTTTTTACATTGATTGCTTTTACACCCATACAGCAATCATTTCTCTCTAGCTGCATTCCTGCAGCCATGGAGAAATACTGTGAGAGCTGTGATTGGTCACAGCTTGTCACATAGTACAAGGCTGTTGTGAAAAGCCTTGTACCATGTGACCTCTGTGAACATTCACAGATTTCACACGTAGTAAACCATGTCAGGAAGTGACATCTTGTTTACTACTGTTCAGGTGATCACTGATTGGCCAATCACTGATCATATGCATCAGGACCTCACACAGAGGTCCCATACAGCGATCTGTGTTCCGGTGGACACAGCGGGCACAGATTGCGATGCGCACTCCCAGGGAGCGTGCACGGGCAATGGATGCGGAGGGACGTTTAGAAATGTCCCCCCTGCATTGGTAGCGCTCCTGTCTGGCCGTTTTTTAGGCATGCACCGGACGGGAACAGGTTAATGGCATGCCGATTTTAGTCCTTAGGGTTCAATATTTGGCCCACCCTTTGCAGTTATAACCGCTTCAACTCTTCTGGGAACTCTTCTGGGAGTTTGTCTATGGGAATTTTTGACCATTCTTCCAGAAGCACATTTGTGAGGTCAGGCACTGATGTCGGACAAGAAGGCCTGGCTTGTAGTCTTTGCTCTAATTCGTCCCAAAGGAGTTCTGTCAGGTTGAGGTCAGGACTCTGGGGTGGAGGAACTTCACTGGCCTGCACAAACTCGCTCATCCATGTCTTTATGGACCTTGCTTTCTGCACTGGTGCACAGTCATGTTGGAACAGGAAGGGGCCATCCCCAAACTGTTCCCACAAAGCTGACACCTTAAGAGTTCCCTTCACTGGGATTAAGGGGCCAAGCCCAACCCATGAAAAAAAAAACCCACACCATAATCCCCCCTCCACCAAACTTTACACTTGTCACAATACAGTCAGGCAAGTACCGTTCTCCTGTTAACCGCTGAACCCAGATACGTTCATTGGATTGCCAGACAGAGACGTGTGATTCGTCACTCCAGAGAATGTCTCCACTGCTCTAGAGTCCAGTGGCAGCGTGCCTTACACCACGGCATCCGACACTTTGCATTGCACTTGGTGATGTAAGGCTTGGATGCAGCTGCTCAGCCATAGAAACCCATTCCATGAAGCTCTCTGTGCACTCTTGTGCTAATCTGAAGGCCTCACGAAGTTTGGAGATCTTTAGCTATTGACTCTGCAGACAGTTGGTGACTTATGTGCATTGTGCGCTTGAGCATGCTACATGGCCTACCACTTCATGGCTGAATTGTTGTTGTTCCCAGTTGCTTCCACTTTGGTATAATGCCACCAACAGCTGACTGTGGAATATTTAGTAGCAAGGACATTTCACAGATGGACTTATTGCACAGGTGGCATCCTATCACGTTTGAATTCACTGCGCTTCTGAGAGCGATGCATTCTTCCTCAAATGATTGTAGAAGCAGTCTGTCTTCCTAGGTGCTGGATTTTATACTTCTGTGGCCATGGATGTGATTGGAACACCTGAATCCAATTATTTGGAGGGGTTTCCCAATACTTTGTGGCGTGTGTGTGCGTGTGTGTGTGTGTGTGTGTGTGTGTAAAATTATTGTAAATTAATTATAAAATGTTGGCAGTATATAAATGCCTATATAAAAATTTGAGCAATTTTTGCTGCACTAGTGCCACAAAACAGCCTGCTTACATAAAGCCAAACAGCAGTTAAGTCTCAAAGTTCAGGAGCAAAATAATTTGGAGTGAGAAAACCAAAATGTAACTTTTTGGTCACAATCCTAAACACTATGGTGTCCGCTTATGACACAGAGAATAGCTGCGATTCAACGGATCTCAGCTATTCTCTGGTCATTCACAGTTTATGACACTCAGGAGATCATGTCAGCCCTTCGCTGGAGATCTGTGTTCTCCCTCCAGATTCTCCAGCCCAGAGCTGGAGAATCAGAGGGACCGCAAACTAAGCAGAGATAATTTACCTCTGCTTAGTAAACTGATCTTTGACTGTAATCTCGCGCGATTATAGTAAAATCAGCCGTTTTCCAGAGTTTGTAGACCGTTCTCCAGCGTTTGGAGATCGTTCTCCCTTCGTTCAGAGAACTGCTTCATAAACTGCATTCACAGGAGAACTGTGTTCTCCGAGAATGCCGGAGAACTGAGCAGCGATCTATTACCGCTGGTTCATAAATGGACACCTAAGTTTGGAGGAAGCTCAACAAGGCCTATGAAGAGAAACAGACCATCCCTGCTGTGAAGCGGGATCACCTCTGGGGTTATGTGAGCTACAGCGGCACAAACCGTTTGGTCAGTACTGCTAGCAAGATTACTTCGGCATGAAATCAGAACATCTGAAGGTAGATATGCATTACTCAGTGTAGACCTGAAGTGTACTTGGCCTTTCTAGCACAAAACTGATCCTAAACATAAGGCCAAAACATCCCTTAGTAGTTGCAACAGAACAATGTGAAGGTAATTGGATGGGGATTACAATCACTTGACCTCAACATGATTCTATCATGTTAGATTCCCAAAGACCTGGAGGCTTTCTACCAAACAGAATGGGTATGTTTGCCACAAGAGATAAATAAAGGGCTCCATTTCACAAGACTGCAAGCTCTCATTTATGTTAGGGGCAATATGATATTAAGAGCTAAGGGTATGCAAATTGCTTGTACAACTATTTTTATTATTTTCCTTTTATTACTATGGTTTGTTTAATGACCTGCTATACTGTGATGCCTATTGGTGTAATCTGAATTGTATTAAAGGAATAAGTTCACCTTTTTTATCAGAAATAATAAATGCACATTTTTTTTTTTTTGCAGATAAAAAAAATGTGCATTTATTATTTTTGGTTGCAGGAGCCTGGAAACCATTGTTGATCGCTGGTGCCATGCAGATCTGTCAGTATATCTGCTTACCCTCTGGGATGTACGAGCAAGCAGATCTACTGACAGGAAGAATCCATGAACTACCACCGTTCTCCACAGCCCTGTGATAGTTCATTGAGAACTAGAAGCTGACCGCCGCTAAGGCTGTCGGAACTTGTAGTTTCTCATTCACAGAGGACTGAATAAATGACTTGGCTGGGTGGGTGGAGCCCCGCACGGCCACGTTTTTGACAGCTAGTGTGGGTGAGGGGCACAGAAGATCCTCCACTAGCTGTCGAAGCAGGACCGATGCATTCATATCTATAACCACAGCTGTATGTGTATATATTGATTTATTTATACAGTTTTTATTCTGATTTATGTGTAAATATATATATATATATTTTTTTTGTGTTTACCTACACAGCTCGGCCTTGAAGTGTCTCCATCCACAATGTTTGCCGTGGCCAGCATCTTGGAGGACTGTGCTTACATCAATGGGTCCCCCCAGAATACATTTGTTCCTGGAGCTATAGAGCTGGCAACAAGGCATTCTGTGTTCATTGGAGGGGATGATTTTAAGTCTGGACAGACCAAGATTAAGTCAGTCTTAGTGGATTTTCTTGTCAGTGCTGGCTTAAAGGTACCTCTAAATAACCATTGTTTAATTTTTTTTTTTTTTTTACTTGTTCTGTATTTATGTAGTAATTCAGGTGTTTTTTGTTATTTACATGAATTAAATGTTGATTTATAAAAGAAAAATATTAAAATGCATTTCACACATTTACAAAATGTATATATGTAATTATGTACAGTAATGTGTAAAATAGTTGTCAAAATAAAATTTTCTAAGAAGTAACTATTGTTTCTTGGTAATTGAATTTCCCCTTTTCATTCAGACAGTTTCCATAGTGAGCTACAACCACCTAGGTAATAATGATGGGAAGAACCTCTCTGCTCCTCAGCAATTTCGCTCCAAGGAGATTTCTAAGAGCAATGTGGTGGATGACATGGTTCAGTCTAACCCTCTTCTTTATGGACAGAATGAGAAACCTGACCACTGTGTGAGTATAATTGTAGACCTGATGGGAGTCTTTCATCATCTTGAAACTGTATTTAAAGCAAACTATACACCATCCCAGATAGATTGAAGGATAGAGAGAGAAACCAATAGTGATCGAAATTAACATGGACATTTCTAACAATTTAATGGCTATAAATGTCCGTGTTTCTGCACTAAAGTTATTTTAAATATGGTAGTTGCCTGCCTGTTATGTTGACCCTGTGGCTTCATTATTATATCACTGACCCAGATGTTTGCAGTCAGAAAAAATGTTAAACTTGTTCTGTCATTCATGCAGTCACAAAGTTAAATGTCCTTCTCCACATACTTGTTCATGTCATTAAAGCAACATCAGCAATTGTTTCTTAAAGGAAAGGTTTACTTTTAAAGTAAAACTTTACTATTAATAAATTTCATGCTGTTTCTGCATGCACGTGGTTTATACTCCCTTTTGTAAACATGACTGTTTGTCAAGTCACAATGGCATATGATACTAACCATGTGAAGCATGATGAGTTTTTCTCTAACCACTCCATGCTGCTTATGTATCCCTCCAGTCAGATGATACTGAATGTCTGAGACAGCCTTGTTGATGCTTAGTCTGCTTACAATATATTTTGCTATTTTGTCAACTGAGGGACACAGAGATTCAGAGACTGTTGGGTTAAACTGCTTCTTCCAGACTTGGACACTGACAAACAGCAAAATTGTGGCCAGTCAGATATAATGCCCTCATAATCACAGCATGCTTTAGTTTTTTGCTAGTGTTCTAGGACGATGGGCGCATTTTTTGCTGAGAAAAGTCTAATCCTTTTTCTTTTTTTTTTCCCCAGTTGAGATTTCTCTACAAGCTGCTTGATCTGGCCTCTATATGGAGCTATCCAGATCGGTGGTTCTCTAGCAATAGCTTTAAAGGCTGTACCCAACCCCACTGACCTGGACAAATGCTAGGCTAGCCTGGCATGTGACGTTCAGGCATGAGGCTCTTCCTTGTGTCATTTTTCAGACTTAAGTGTATTGTGTTAACCATGGCATGCTTGACACAGTCCCGGGTTTCACACTGCCTCTGAAGACTTACTTTTTGAGTAGGCTGTGTGGGTGAGCTGAGCATCAGGATCTCCCTATGGTTCTGCTGCCCTCTTTACCTGCTCCTGCAGCCAAGAAAATCCAGCCTAGAAGTGGAGGTCTGCTATCTTGTGTGTTTTGTTTGTATGAATCTCCTGTCAGTGAACATGAGGACTCCTCTTTGGCTTAAAGAGGCACTTCAGCCATATCCTAAAACTTACAACAAAGGCACCCTCAGAAGTGTTTAATAATGGCAATCTACAAACCGATACTCATTGGCAATTGCTGGCTTTTTATTCTTTGCATACCTTATTTTTCTTTTCCTCCCCATTCTTCTCACAGTAGCCATTTTAACTAAGGGCAGATGATCCCATCTCTTTCCTTCCTGGAACTCTGCCTGGACCTTTGGGTCTGCCTCCTGAAACATGTTACAGGAACTTCCCAGGATTAATTTGTGAGACCAGGGTTATATCATCAATGCCTCACGTAACCATGCAGTGGAAAAACAGTAATTCAAAGTAAAAGAAAACAAGTTTGTCAAATGAATGTAAGAGGATTTCATTTAAGTATGCAGAGTTGATTTTTAGTGAAAGAGGGAAAAAGTGTTGGCTGCAGAACTGGCATGCAAAAAAGCACCTGCTTCACATGCCCTTTAAAGGGCAGTGTCTCTTTAGCACTTTCCTGGATACCCTTTTCAAAGATTTCACTAGGGTAAGATTACCCATCTGCCCCAGCAAAAGAGAGCCTGGGGATCAGCCCAGGAAGACTCAACTCAGCAGTGATTCTTTTACTTTCCTGTGGGTTCCAGTTTGTGGTTCTGCCATTTGAACCATGTTCTGCACCTCAAGTGTTCGCCAAGGTACTGTCCCCTGTGCTAGCTTTGCTACACTCCTAGGGCATCCCCATTGTGGGATATCTGGATGATCTATTGTTGAGGAAGCAAATGACACAGATTATGGCTGACAATGTAGTGCGAGGGTTGGGCTGGGTCCTGAACCTTCAAAGAAGTCTGTTCCAGCATTGACTAATGGAGTATCCTAGACACAGCTCAAGCTAGAGGTTTTTTTTTTTTTTCCCCCAAGGGGAAACTTTAAACTCTCCACTCCCAGACTCAGACCCCTCTATCCAGGAGTCACCCAATTTTGCTTCTGCATGAGCATCCAGGGCTGATTGTGGCGTCTTTTGATGCAGTCTCACTTGCCCCTTACAACTTTGTCAACACTCTATCGTCCTGGGACAATTCAGTTCAGTCCTTGAACAGACCATTTTTCTTGGCACCGAAGACCGGGTTGTCCTTGGTCTAGTGGCTCAGGAATTCTTCTCTAGAGAAAGAGAAAGTCTCTCCTTCTGGTCTTTCCTTCTGGTCTCTTATTGGCACAGGGGACTTGAACGTCTGAGCAATTCAGACTCCCAATCAACACTCTAAAACTTCTGGCAGTTTGGTTGTTCCTGCAATGCTGGGACAATCTTGCCTTTGCAAGAGGTGGAAATGATTCTGTACTGGCCAGAATGTCTGTCTGTTTCTTTCCAGCCTTGTCCGCCATTCACATTCCAGGCAGACACTTTTTCAGCTAGCAGTGCCTGGACCCAGGGGAATGATCCCTACACTTGGGGGAGCTCCAGGACCTCTATCACAGGTGAGGTACTCTGTTATTGAACCTAGCAGTCAGGAGATCCACATCCAAACTGGAAAGATTTGTCTCCAGGTGCAGAGACCCTCTGCGAGAAGTAGTGAATTTTCAAGTGGCTCTGTCGGTTTAGTACAGCCTAATCTACGCCATTCCTCCCCTAAAACTCCTTCCTTATTTACTCTGTTGGATTAAGATTGAGGGCATTCAAATAACTTTCATATGTCTGGACTGGCCCAGGCAAATCTAGTACTCTGATCTGGTCAGACCCCTGGAAGATGCTTCTTGGGCTCTTCCAGATTGTCTGGATCTTCTGTCTCAGAGACCAATATACTACTTCTGGGTCGCCTACTTTAACGGCAGATTTGTTATAGCTCTGGACTTGAGGGGCAGAGATATCTCTATATCGGTGAATTCCACAATGTTAAAGACTAGGAAGTCTACTTCCTGCAGATCTACATGGAAGGCATACGTGGCTTGGACAAGACTTTAAGACTTCTAGAGCTCATCTATACAGAAAATCTTTAAAGGTGACCTAACACACATACCCAAACCCCCCAGTGCCACTGTACTTACCTCCCGTGATCCTTAAATTTCAAATCCCTGGAGAGGCTTGCCAGAGCTCTGACACCTCAGGATCACAGGAGGCAAGTACATAAGGACTGAGGGGGAGGGAGGAAGGGGTCTGGTGTTAGCTCTCCTTTTACAGATTTTTTGTAAAGACAAAGTAACACTTAAAAAAAAAACAAACAAAAACCTTGTTAGTCTGTCCCTGTGTCTGACTTCAGTTCATCAGATCACCCTCCATTTCCTTGATGTTGGTTGTACAGAAGGCAGTATCTACAAGGCAGACATACAAAGACTGATTCTCTCTTTGCCATTCCTGATGATGGTCACCATAAACTGGAAGCAGCTTCTCGTTCCACCACTTCTTAGTAGATCAGACATATACCATGTTTTTTGCTGCATAAGACACACCTAGATTTTAGAGGAGGAAAACAAGAAAAAAATATTCTGAACCAGTGGACTGCTGACATAGTACAGGAGATGACCAGAAACTGCAGACACTACAGGAGATGACCAGAGACTGGTCAACTACAGGAGATGACCAGAGACTGCGGACGTACTAGAGGAGATGACCAGAGATTGCGGACGTACTACAGGAGATGACCAGAGACTGCAGGCCTTTGAAGATTGGGGGGGGAAGGGAAGAGATTTGACAGGTACCCGCGCCTCACTTCTGTGGAGTTGTCCTCCTCCCTGTAGTCTTGTGGGACACGTGACAGGTCCCAGAAGGCTACGGGACCATTCACAAAGCTCAGCGCTTCTCGCGTATGCGCAGTGGGCACCCGGTTGTGAAGCCGCAAGCTGTCACAGCCGGGCGCCCACAATGAAGATGCCGGCGTGAGGGAGAGAAGACGGGCGATGAAAGCAGGACACCGCTGGACCCGAGGAACAAGTAGGACCAAGGAGCGGGTTCTTCTGCACAGTAGAGTCGAGCAGCCGGCCCGATATTCTAACACGGCAGCTGCGGGAATACCGGGCCGGGGAAAAAAGTGCGTCTTATGGAGCGAAAAATACGGTAATCCTCTAAACCTAACATCGTAAGGGATTCACAGTTTCCTGTGAAGGTGCACTCTGATAGGTGTTGATTGCTGGTCTTTTCGGCATCAGGCTAATGATTTTCCAGATTTTAAGAATGCTTCCTGTTTTTTTTACAAGTTCTCCAAGCCAGTTGGATGTTTAAATCTCATCTATTGCCAGCTTCATGTGTAATATCCTTCAGGTGGCTCTTTGAGATTTTCTTGTGGGCCTATTGGTGTTTTGTTCATCTTGCTCCCTGCTCTATTAGACTGCGTTTTCATGTCCCAATGGTCTCTTAAATCATGTGTCCATCAGTGAACTCCAAGAAATTGATTTTCTGGTATCTACATTATTTAATTTGTACCATACCTGTTTGTACATTTTCAGGTGGTTATTAAATATGTCCCATATGTGGGAGACAGCAAGAGAGCAATGGACGAATACTCATCAGAAATAATGATGGGGGGAACCAACACAATTGTTATTCACAACACTTGTGAGGTAAGGCAGCATGCATATCCATTGTGTTTAATTTTGATTTATCTTCATTTACAGGTGAACACCAGGAAAAGGGTATTCACCTTTATGTCTCTTTAATGGAAGTTGTTATGCTTGCAAAAGGATTCTGGTCTAGTCTAGATTTTGCCTATCCAGTCTGAGAACCAGATATCCACTCTACCTTGTGTTGTGCAGTTAAAGCTACCTTGTCATATATAATGTACTCAGCCAAGCTAAACATGTAAATGAAGACAGTATATACTTTTCTCTTCTGTTACCCACACCACCATACACTGTGCTTTGTTCAATAGAAATGTTCCTCCCAAAATCTGCAGGAAAACAAAATCTCCAGTAGTGTTAATCTTCTGTTTCTTCCGACCCTTCAGCTGTGTTTTGCTGCTGACCTCCACATTACAACTTTCTCCTGTAGTGATGTGGAGCCTGTGACTGGACAATGAAAGAGTAGCTGCAGACTGATTGACTCACAAATCTATTCTCCTCCTCCTGTCAAAATGATCCTTCTCCGTATACTTTAACGCAGCATTGACTCCTTTTGCTGCCCCCATTTTAGACAGAGTTCTACTGTAAAGAGGATTTCAAGAGGCTGAAGGCTGAATCAATTTCAGGCACTTTCACCAGTTGCACATGAAAATATATTTAACAATTTTAGTGCGTGTACAACTGCATTCATTTTTTTAATATCTGGCCTGGTGTTTGCTTAATCATAAAGCCAGGTATTGTCTTTATTAGGAAAACATAACTCTTCCCCTGACACTGCACTGACACTGTGTAGTGCTGGCAGTTGTACTAGAATTTTTATAACTAGCCCGTTCTTTATTTGTTTTTTTAGCACGGTAAATTTCTATGTCAAACATAACAGTAGGGACGGGGGAAAGGTTATATTTCAGTAGTGAATATGTTAAAGTGCATTGAACCAAAAAACAATGATGCTATTGAATTTCATGGATATAATTTACATTTTTAAGTTGAGTAAGGACACTAGGGTCAGTTCATCAGGTTACTATACTATAGGTTCATTACATGCTATAGGTAATGAACATCAGGTTCATTACTATAGCATATTAAGATTTCTTAAAGAGAAATAAACCTAAAAAGAAATAGAGAAACTCAGATATAAATGCAGGCACATCTGCTTTTAGCCAGATCCTAGTCCATTATAATAGGCCATATTTTGAAGTGTGGACTCGCACAAAGTATTTTGTTGTGCTCAAGCACTTTAGAGAAGCCTGGGTTACTTTCATAACCTATAACAAATTCTATTAGGGCTATCACAATTCATTAGAAGAAAATTTAAAAAACCAAAGCAGCAATAAAATAAAGGACCAATAAATTATAAATCACTTCAAACTGTTAAATGCTTGTGCCATATACAATGAAGGAAACCTGGTGGTCAACTACAGGAAACATCTGACCTCTGTGATTGCCAACAAGGGATTTGCCACCAAGTACCAAGTCATGTTTTGTGAAGGGGATCAAACACTTATTTCCCTCATGAACATGCAAAAGTGTATAATTTGTTAGACATGCATTTGTTTTGAATTTTTTGTTGCCATTCTGTCTCTCAGTGTTACAATACACCTACCATTCGATTTTTAGACTGATCATTTCTTTGTGAGTGGGCAAACATTCAAAATCAGTAGTGGATTAAATTTCTTTCACTGTAACACAGCTGTGCAAAACAGTGACGAGTGCAAATAAATATATAAGAATATATAAAAATGAGAGCCCATAAAGGTGAAAACATTAGTGAAGGTCTAATTTCAAACACATGTTATGTGCAGTGCAGCCGGTGACACTCTCCTGCATCAACAGGAACCATTAATTGCTTACCTGATAGTGTGATCCCTTAGTTATAGTAGGTCAAGACATGCTTCCCCATTCATTGGGACAGTATGGTAATTAACCCCACTGGCATGCTTCTCTTCTCAAAAGAATTCAACAGCAACCATATTAAACAGCTTTTGTTATAAAAAAGGCGCTTCACATAGTGTAATACAGTAACAATTCATGGAATTTATTTGCCATAAAGTAATACTTACAAAATGAAAGGATAAAACAAGAGCAGCATCCATGCCACTCAGCATGCATGCAAGATGACCGAGCGCAAGCTCTTTCCAACACGTTTCATCAGAATTAATTTCATTAAAATACAAGAACCCTCAAGACATCACATAATGTAATGATATGGGAGCTGTTAAAGAAAAGAACCACATTCAGTCACCAAGCAATTTAATCGACAGTTTTTGTGCAAATAACTGCTAAATAGTCTTCTGGCTGTATTATTATGCATTATTATTATGATGATCAGTAATGTTGTGGTATGTTGCAAATTAGATTTAAAATGTTTTGTGCTTAGTGAACTATTTTCTTTTTCAGGACTCTCTGCTTGCTAGTCCAATTATCCTGGATTTGGTGATCCTCACCGAGCTTTGCCAGAGAATAACTTTCTGTACTGAGCAAGACCAAGACTTCCAGACGTTCCACAGTGTCCTGTCAATTCTCAGCTTCCTCTGTAAAGCTCCACTTGTGCCAGCAGGAACACCCGTAGTAAATGCTCTTTTCAGACAGAGAAACTGCATTGAGAACATTCTCAGGTATCACTTGCTTTTAAGATAGGTGTGGATTGTCCTAGTAGTTGTGAAATAATTAGAATTCATAGAACATACCTGCTCTTTTAATCTTCCATTGGTTTAGAACAAGTGATGATTAGGGCTAGGTAAATCTTGTTTCGGTTAGAATTTAACTGGCTTGTTTAATTTGTGTGTTTGAAATAGCCTGTAATTAATGCATATATTATGTCTTTTGCAGGGCCTGCTTGGGTCTGTATCCACAAAATCATATGATGCTAGAATACAAGATGCAGAGAAGTTTTGTGAGTTTCAAAAGACCAAGCAAAGTTTTGGACCCTTGTCCAATTTCCAGTAAGAAGGGAACGGTCCAGATCAATGGCTTTCAACAAGGCATTAGTAATGGACACTGTAATGGACTGAAACAAACTGTCACCAGCAGTGACACGGAGATAGAAAATTAATAGGTGTCCTCAACTATAACTTATGCATTTTTGTTTTTTTTTTTAATAAAGTCAATGTAGTAGTTTGAGGTTCACACTACAACTCTTGCACTGATATTGATTACTTGACCCTCCATTTCAGTGTTTATATAGGTTCAGTAACCTAGAACTGTAGTTCTTCCACTGCTGCCTTGTTATACATTTGTTGTAGTTTGAAGTTATTAAATAGAACTTCGGATGACTTGAACTATGCTAACTGTTCTTGTAGAACACTTCCTCTACAAAATACAACATTGCAACACTTGCAGGTTAGTTTTCCTGTCTAATCGTGTCTTAATAACTTATAGAATGCTGTGATTGAATAAGGGCTATAACCAATATAATCCAGCCAGCAGCTGTGTCCTTTTGGAAAAGTTAGGAACTTGGTGTAGAAATAAGTACATAATAAATTTACTGAAACATTAGTTGTTTATGGGTCTCTTACTACTTCCAGCTTGCATACATTTAGGGCTGTATATTCGTAATATTCCCCAGCTCACATAGATTAAGGGGTGCTTATTACCAGTATTCCCAACCCAATCTTCATATAAATGGAGTTCTAAGAAAAGAACTAAAATATCTTTGTTCTTAGAAGGTCATGTCTCAAAGCAACAGATAACGAGGGCACAGTAAGTGTTATTATATACCATAACTAGTTTCCCTTCTGATCTGTTCTTGTAACCAGTTGGATATTGGAAAGATTGCCATGTTCCTCCTGTATCTTTTTCTAAACCCAGTTGTGCTCTCGTGATTTTTGCTGTGGAGCTTTAATCACAACCTAAGGATTGACTGTACATAGGTGGTAAGCTGGGTACATGTCTTACATTAAACCAGTGTTTTTCAACCGGAGTGCTGCCAGGAGTCCTTAGGGGACAACAGTCCAATGTGAATGATCCTCTTGTTAACTTCTGGGTATAGAGCAGAGGCAAAGAGCTTTGCCTGCACCTCCTCCCAGCTTTCTCCTCTGTGCTGTTTCTGGCAAAACAGAAAGCTGTGCCAGGAGTGGAGATTTCGGGGGGGGCTAGTTGTGTGCAAAAGCACACGTTTTCCCATACAGGACAAATTCTTATGCACATACGTTCGCGCCTGCTAAAATGCATGATACCGTGGAACCGTGTGTTTTGGTGCTGCACAAATGTAAAGTCATGCCACCACCTTTTTGCGTGTTTCTCAAGCATAGAGCAGCTCATTAAAATGCAGCGTGCGGAAGCACGCAAAAAATTGTGTATGCTCGAATGCACCTCCTGGTGGTTGACCCTCCATTTGAGTGTTATGTAGGTTCAGTAACCTAGAACTGTAGCTCTCAGGCTGGTGTACCCCAAAATTGTGTGCAATTCTAAAGGGCGCCTCGGCTGACAAAGATTAAACACTACATTAAACCATTTGTTTGTCTTCAAACCAACTTAAATTTTTTTTATACCTTGATTAAAACTTTGTATAAGTATATCTGCAATTAAGACTGTCTTCCTTTTTTTTCTCCATCGAAATGAAGATGTAATCATGGCCCTGCACAAAAAAAAAAAAAAAAAAAAGCTGGCAATTCTTTGTGAGTGATGAGTAATTTGTTTGATGTTTGGCAGCACACGTTATCATTCCTTAAAGTCATACATAGTCTGATCACGGCACACCTAAATTTAGATGTGTATGGCCACCCAAACATGCTTCCCAATATAGCATTATTATTTTTGATGAAACGATGCCCTAGTACTTTAAGTACACTTGTCATGTGACATTTATGTATGTTGTCATGCAGATGCTTGTTGTATAGTGTTTTTTGTTGTGCAATTAAAAAAAAAAAACAAACAAAAAAAACTGTGTAGTACAAGGATCTACCTAAACAAGGTAAGTAAGTTTTTTTTTTACTAATTTGCTTCATTTTGTTTTATATGGCTTGTAGGTATCAGATCATGTGTAGGGCAATAGTTTTTTTCAAACAAGGCTTGTTATATCCCACAATGTTCTACTGTAATGAGTAGTTCACCTGATTAATTCATGGTCTTTTACATGATATAATTTAAAGTGTTACTAAACTCACAACAGTAAGATCAGTCTGTTTATGCAGTAAAGCATGCTTGTTCTCACTGTGAAACCTAAGGGGTTAATCCTCCGCATTGTGTAAAAAGGCTGTTTGATCCTGACTTCTCTGATCCTCCCCCCTTCTTCCGCAGTCCCCAATTCATCTGCTCATAGTACAGAGTCCTATGAAGCACACTCCAGCAATACACACCAAACTGAGCATGTGTAGGGTTTTTTACTTTTTTGGGAGGGTGCATGTGATTGGCACAGGGCCAGTCAGTGCTGCCTGAACAGAGGGTCAGGAGTCATACAGCCTCATAGGACAGTTAGAGGAGAATGAAAGCTCCTACAAGCTTTAACCAGTGCTCAGCCAGGCACTGACAGAAGTCACAAGACTGCTATATACTGCTAATGAAAAAGGTATTTAGCAGTTTGTTTACTACAATAATTGAATTTCCATCTGTACTGTGGGAGACCAGATACAGTGAATGCAGAATCCTGGGTTGAGTAACACTTTATCCATGTGAGGGACACCGCAAACGTGGAAGAAGGTGCTCTGGTCAGATGAGACCAAAATTGAACTTTTTGGCATAAAAGCAAACCTTTATGCGTGGTAGAAAACAAACACTGCTTATCACCCTGAACACACCATCCCCACCGTGATACATGGTGGGTGGCAGAATTATGTTGTGGGGATGCTTTTCTTCAGCAGGGACAGGGAAGCTAGTCCTAGTTGATGGGAAGATGGCTGGAGACAAATACATTGAAATCTTAGAAGAAAACCTTTTAGAGTCTGCAAAAGACTTGAGACTGGGGCGGAGGTTCACCTTCCAGCAGGATAATGACCCTAAACATACAGCCAGAGCTACAATGGAATGATTTAGATCAAAGCATATTCATCTGTTAAAATGGCCCAGTCACAGTCCAGACCTAAATCCAATTGAGAATCTGTGACAAGACTTGAAAATTGCTGCTCACAGACACTTTCCATCTAATTAGAGCATGAGCTATTTTGCAAAGAATGGGCAAAAAATGTCCCTCTCTAGATGTGCAAAGCTTGTAGAGATATCCCCAAAAAGACTTGCAGCTGTAATTGCAGAGAGAGGTTGTTCTACAAAGTATTGACTCAGGGAGCTGAATACAAATGTATGCCACGCTTTTCACTTACTTATTTGTAAAAATTTTGAAAACCATTTATCATTTTCCTTCCACTTCACAATTATGTGTCACTTTGTGTTGGTCTATCAGATAAAATCCCAATAAAATACATTTACCTTTTTGGTTGTAACATGACAAAATGTGGAAAAATACTTTTTCAAGGCACTGTATCTGCGGGGCAGGTTTGCAGTGCGATTTGTAAAATAGTCCAGTGCGCTTTTATTCAGCGGTTCAGGTGCATTCAATGCAAAGTGTATGACATTGGAAATTGCCCTTGAACCGGACTGAGAATTGAACCGTGCTGAAAATTGTACTGAGCTTTCCCCTTTTTTTTTTTTTTTTTTTTTTTTAAATTGTACTGTGGCCGGCCAGCTCCATAGAAAAGGATTTTGGTTCATATATCATGCGAAGCAGATGCGGTTCAGAACGTATCCAAATCGCAGTTATGTGAACCAGGTATCAAGTTTGTTTTCCGACATAGACTGACTGAGATAGAAATGAATGTACAATGTAGCTCAGTCTGGATGCGTTTGAAAAACTGACAGATGTAGACAGGACACTTGTGTGAAAGATCCCAAAGTTTTGAACTCAAGTATTGCTGCACTATTACATAACTTAAAAGCTGGTGTGACTAGTCTGACTGTTGTGACTTATCACTGTAAAATATTGTAGATTTCTTGTGCAGAAGGCAAGATTCTCCAGCTCCAGATTTTGGCAAAGCTGCATCTACACTGCCCATAATAGAGTATATATTTTTGTAGTAAAACACTTCCTGTGAAGAAACTTCATATCCCACAATCTGAGTCTTTTTTGGTCTAGTGTGGGATCAGTGGGAAATAGGTTTGAGTCAGCTGCTTATGTAGGCAGGGTCAATATTTTTTTTGTATGTTTTGTATAACACCTGCATCCTGAAGTAAATTATAAAATGTTTCCAATAAAGGGCCTAGCAAAGCCCTCTGAAGTAACTCAACAATAGGTAAAAAATATAATTAAAAATGTGAATGAAGGATAATATGGTCAAGGGTTGGAATATTGAGCAGCAGAAAGGGGGGAAAAATACCATCTTCATAAAGCTGTCCCTAAAAAGATGATCCAACATAATCCTTTCCACCCTATGCCGCTTCCACCGCTGTCAGACTCCATGACAACACTCATGAGCTATGCTCCTTTAATGGAAAGCTGATATTCTCACTGGATGTCCATGTCTCTGCCAGGCTTGTCCATGCAGTGTGGTGCTGTTACTTCCTCCAGATGTGCCTAACAAACTACAGCAGGGGAGCTGTGGTTGCTGCCACCGGATGGCTTAGTGTGCCAGTGGCCTCTCCTATTCCTGTTGACGTGTGCAGGAGATATATACGGAGTTTGGCTGGTGAGGCCTACAGGTGTTCTGGGTGCAAGACACCATCACACTTTGCCTCAGGGGCCAGTGAATGTGTCAGGATCTGCAGGTGCTGCTGCAGAACAGATGTAGTTAGAGGGGTAGCTGGGAGACTCTGCAGCTGAAAACCTGTGATGTTAATGGGGGGGGGGGGGGGGGGGGTTCTGGATTTTTTGGTCTTCACTTTGTTTTCAGCCATCAGAGAAGAAAATGGATTACACAAACTACATTAGAGGAGGTAGTTGTAACATGCAATATAAATCCAAGTTGTAAACATAATTAAGTTGCCAAGCCTTATAGATTAAATGATAGAATAATATGAGAAGTGTGGTATTTTATTTGATGAATAAAGAGAAGGAATATATTGTACAGACTATACTGCTACTATCAATAGCATGTGGCTTGCAATAGCATAATGCAAAAATGTATA